TATGTACGAGTACTTAAGTCAAACTGACGAGAAAAGCGAAGCGCGAAACAAAGTTAACGGAATCGATATGAACAACCCAGAAATGTCCCCTTTAATCCCTATCGAGTTGCATTTAATTATAACGTAGCAGTTTACAATAAATCGTTGCTATGAGACCAAAGAACTTTGTGTGTCCACATTTCAAGGCTTTTAAGATTAAAACTGAAGCCTCGGGATTATGTTGCGACAGTGTCCAAGTGAAACTGACGCAATTGGTACCGCCACCAGAGCCACTACCTTTTTTGCGAACTTTTTTGGTTTGCGGAAATGGACCAGATTCTATACATTTTTTGACTCATCATATCCAGAAATACAATCATTGCTTTCAAATTACGGCATTTGGCGCAACAAAAAAAAAGGTACGTTGCTAGCTCTGTATTGCCAAAAGCAACTAGAAGAGAGTGCGTTTAATTTTAATGATTTTGCAGAGATGGGAAGATTTTGGGGCAAGTGTGTCAAAATCTCTTTTCCGGCTAAACGGTTGAACCGATTTAAACCAAATTTGCTACACATACTCTTACACATAGAAGAGCAGAATCGCGCATGCGCAGGTGGGGCGGGTGGTACCTGTGCTAGCCACAGCAAATGTTTTGAAATAATTTTTTGTAATTATTTATTCCAGTCCAAATTGAATAGGTATTCATAGCTAAGAAAGAGGAAAGCGTCCGTCGGGTCAGCTAGTACCTTAATAAATACAACATTTTTGAACCATGTCTCGGATATGAAACAGGTTTAGTACAGAAATAGTAAATTTAGACAATTTGAATGTGATCGGTGGAAGAATCTCCAAAATTTCTTTGCTCATGGATGTTTTCTACCACCACCCTTTTACCTGTTTTACCTGTTGCAGAACTAAAAATTACAATTACATTATAACAAAAATCCGGAGTTGATGCGTGGTCTAGGAGCAAAATTTTATCGCTCACAAACAGGCAGACACGATCGATTTCCACTTAAGTAAATGATTTCTGAATACGCTCCTGTGCTTAAGTGCGTACGAAAGTTGGTGACCCAAGAAAGTCGCGAATGACGTAACGATCCTGCTGAACCAGACCCGCTCGTTATCGGGGTGTTGTGCGGAGTTTTGTTTTTGCTGCCTCATGTGAAATCAGGCAATTTTCGGTTTTTGGGGATTTGATTGGCTGAAAGAAATTAATTCTATTGGTGGAACAAATTCAAATGTCCACTGGGCGTAGTTAATAGTTATTTACATATGAGTATGGTAAATCGAGGTTTACGTTAACGAGTGAGATGTTTACTGCCGAAGCGTAGCTGAGGTAGGAATTTCGAAACGAGTAACGTTAACTGATTTAACATACAAATAATGTAAAACATTTTATTTCATACTGCTCTTTTTTCTATTAAAATGCCATACAATTTTTGATTAGAATGTTGTACGCATTCAAATAAAAGTAAAAGTCGATCACTTGATTTGTTTGATCTGACAGTAGTTTGACAAATATCAATGCATACGTTTAGATGGATATCAGTTGCGGTTGCTAGGCAAAATTTCCAGTCTGGTAATAATTTTCAGTCTGGTAAAATACGATTTACCAGACTCAAATCGGTTTGGGAAAGCGGCGATTACTAGATAGTAGGAAATAAAAAAAATTAAGGTAGTCAGAGTAAGTAAAAAGTAAGTTGGCTTGAAGCCCCGATAGCATCGTTCCGCGTCGTACGGAAAAAATTTAAAGGTTTAGTGATCGTTTGTACCGACAGCGGAGCTTAGCTTAAGCGTAGCTTAAAATCCAAGGCAACAATTACTGCGACAATGGTTGCCATGGATATTTTAAGCTACGCAAAGCAAAGACTAAAAATAAACTCAATGGATGTACACCAAAAATTCAAATTCAAATTAACTATGGTTAATTCAAAATAATTCACGTAAAGTTATGCTAAGTCACGTTTACTCAAGTTAATTCACGTAAATTCAACCTAATTTACGACAATTCAAATTGAATCACGTTAATTCTCATTAATTCTCGTTAAATCTAATTAATTCACGTTAATTATAATTCATTCACGTTAATTATAATTCATTCACGTTAATTCTAATTAATTCACGTTAATTCAAATTAATACAGAGGGGTATACACCAAACTTTCAAAGTTGTTTCCATCTAGAATTTTTCCAAGGCAAATTTTTACCAGGACTAGAGTTATCGAGTAAAATATTCAACGGCGGATTTTTTCTGGGGACAAATGTTTTACACAAGTATACCAGGGAAAAATTTTCCAAGAGCGATTTTATCAATCTTAAATTTTCAGGACGAGAATTTTTCCATTTCAAGAGCAATTTTTATACGTTTCTGGAGCCAAGTTTTCCAAGTTTCCGAGTTTTTTAGCCGTAGGTAGGTACATTTTTCGGAAGCGAATTTTTCCATAGTGAATTTTCCCAGAACAATTTTCCTTAGAGTTTTTGGGAGTAAAATATTCTAATAACGACGAATTTTTTAGGAAAGAAGTTTTCCGGAAAGAACCCTCCCGAAAATTGATGAGTGTGAAAGTTTCACGCAAATATTACGGGAGGAAAATTCGTAGAGGCGAATGTTCCCTGTATGAATTTACGGGTTGAATCTTACAGGGAAGCATTTTAAAAAGGCGATTTTTTTATAGCGAATTTACCTTGTATATTTTTTTCGGAGGACAAGTCTTTCGGGGTCAAATATTCCAAGGGGGATTTTTAGAGCGCATAAAATTTTCTGGAAGCGAATTATTCACGCAAGTATTCTAGAGAAGGTAGATTTTTTTATGAGAGCCATTTTTCCTAGCGGATTTTCAGGAGATTTCAAGCTCAAGCATTATCCGGAAGCGAATTTTTCCATAGGGAATTTTCCCAGAAGAAATTTTCCGGGAACAAGTCTTTGAAGATCAAACAGAATAGTGATTTTTTCGTGGATACATTTTCAGGATGAAGATTTTTTTATAGCGAATATCTCCAGTGAGAAACTTTTCCGAAAACAAGCCTTTAGGGATGAAATATTCCAAGGGCGATTTTTGAAGCCCAACCAAATTTTCTGAAGCGAATTTACAAGGGCAATTTTTTCAGGAATCGATGATTTTTAGAAACGAATTTTTCGTGAGGGTACCATTTTTTGCCTGCCGTTATTTGCGCCCAGAAAACACGTCTAACGGCCAGTTGCAAAAAAAATCCAGGATTATTGTTTAATCTGGTATTAAGACATTTGATTGGCTTTATATTGCAGTAGGCAGCCAATCAAATGTCAAAATTCTAGTTTAAACTCAGATTTGGCAAATAATGTAGGATTTTGATTATAATTCGCTTTCCTGCAACCGACCGTAAGTGAAATTTTGTTTATCGATGGATTACGTAATTTTGTGCGTGAAATTAAACAAATTCGAACCCGCTCTCATTTACGAGGTCCAGGATTTTCGTCAACCCTTTGGAGTAGTGGAAGCAGATAGTCCATTGAACGAACCAGGAATTTCGCTACCATTAATCAAAATATCCTAAAGGGAGCAGTAATTATTATCACCGTTTAATATACGTTTTTGTTATCCGCAGGTATAATTTTCGAAAAGATCCACATTCCTCGAACGTAATGCCCGCGTAGAATATTTTATTTTGTGCGAAATTGGCTTCTCTATTTTTAGTAGCACGTTTGTAACACCAAAATTAATTTGCCGCCGCTCAAGTTTGCGAAAGAAAAGCACATTATACATATTTTTTTGTATTTGTGGGAAGGGTGGAGAACGTTCATTGATTTTATCTGATACTAAGTATAATAAATCAATATTTCTTTCGCTATTTGGACGATTACCTTCCCTTGTAGCTTCCCAGTTTCATACAGGTCGAGTGGAGAGTCGATAAGATAGAAGCTGGGTGGCGCTCAACTTTGGATAAGTTGAATATGTTTTTTTAATTGTAAAATCCACCTACCTGGCCCTTTACTCGGCGAGTTTTTGTTAACGCAGCGCCAACTTATCTCACTCAAGGTATCTATATTTATCAGTTCCAAAGGTAGAAAAAAATTCCATAATTTTATTGTTACTAATAAAAAAGGCACTGAAATTATTTTGTGTGTTAATTTGCAGTGCACAACGACAGTTGTACCTATACAAATTTAGTTGAATTTAAATACTTAAGTTGATTCCTTTAGCAGTATAATAGTGCAGCGGAGAGCCGGCGCTAACTCGCTTATTTGAGGTAGTTTTTTTTTTCGGAGTAGAAAGAATTGGGACCCACACCATTTTGTTCAGAAATGTTTGAACCTTCAGAATCTCGCTTTACGACATTTTCCCGTGGTCCTGACAAAAGTTATAGGCCGCTAAAGTTGAACTTTACTCATTTTCGCGCGGGCGACTAGACCACCGAAAGTATTTATTTTCTCAGCAACTA